CCCCCCGACGACAAAGAGCGTGTCGTGCTCTAAAGCACGACCGATAGCTTTCAGATAAGACACGTTCAGATCACACACGCCAGTGCCGCTCTTCAGATACACGCAGACGACGGACAGAGGGGGCCACTCAGGGATGTCGACCACCACTTTCATGACTCGAGACGGCACAATCACGCCGCCGCAGACTGGCCATCTTAGGCCGATATGGGACCGCACAAGAACCGCAACCCCCCATTTGGGCCTACCCTCGGCCCCAACCGTCGACGGGGAGGCCAGCATTTTCCACCCCAACTTACCCACGGCCGCGCACTTCTCACCCAGAGAGTCCTCAGTGAACCCCACCTCTTGGGCCAGAACAATGAGGGCCGAACTGGCCGCCAGCCTGTCCTTCAGGGTCCCCCAAGAGTTGCCGTTATGGGACGCCAGCACTTCGCCATAGCCAGACGAGCCCTCACAATCGGGGTCGAGGCGAGGAGGAGCGGGGGGAGGCTGCGCAGTGCCTGCGCGCGTCAGGCGAAAACCACAGCATCTAGGTAAAAGTGGCGGGTTACCCCAAGCGCTGCCGCTTGGCCAGCAGCTCAGCAAGCTGAACGTGGAAGATCCGCTTGTCCACGCGCTGCGCGGCCCAGAAGAGCGCGTCCATCTCCTGGTCCAGCTCGGGGTCTGGTGGGACTTCATGATGCAGTCCACCGAGGTCGCCTCCGCCTCCAGCTGCTCGCGCTGCATCGCCAGCTGCAGCTGGAGAAGGTGTACTTGGCGCAGCTGGAGGAGGTGTACTTGCTCCATCGTGGGCGGCAGCGGCAGGATGGGTACCACTGGCAGTAGCTGTATCGCGCGCCGCTGCAGGTGGCCCACTCCGCTCGCCCATGCGAACATCGCCATCTTGATCGAAGGGCGAAGTAGCAGCACGGGAACTCTTCTGTTTCGCCTTGGCCTTCCTCGCGGGGGCCTCCTGGTAGAGCTTGAAGTGGGAAGACTGAAAGAGTGCATCCAGCTGCGCCTGCTCGTCATCATTCTCCGCCAAGTCCTGCATATCGAGCCCGCCATCTTTCTGGGCCACAGAGGATGGGAGTGTCGCCACGAGCTCACCACGTAGCTGCTCCACCTCCTTAGACGCCAACAAGTGTTGCGATTGCAGGCTGTCCAACTTCTCCTGAGCCAAACGAAGAACGTCGAGCTGTTCGGAGACTTGAGCTGATATCTTCTCGACCTTGGCCTCAGCCCGCTGCAAACGGTGCCCAATGTTGGTGTGGACCGTGAGCTCAGGCTTGAGGCTAGATAGCTGCTTGCGCGCCTCAGACAACTGCGCATCCAGAACAGCCTTGGCCTCATCACTGTTGGGCACCTTCTCCACCGCGGTGCGGGCCTGTTCCAGCTGCTTGATGTTGTCACGTAGCGCTTGTTCCTTACGTTCACCTTCACTCGGTTCTGGGGGAGTACCAGCGCCGACAGGAGGCCCGCCAGCAGTGTTAGTACTACCACCATTGCCGTTACCAACCAATTTATCATACTTCTTCTGGAGTTCGGCAAGCTGCTTGGAGAGCTTTGCCGCTGTGATGCTGCCAGTGCGAGCCCCGAGACCCTGACGAGGCTGTTGACCGCCAGCAGTAGTACGTTGAGCATGCTTTGCGTTCCCGCGGGCTGCCTTGGCCACCGCCACGGGGGCGGGTTTGCCGCAGCGACAGACCAGGCGCGAAGCCCAGTTTGACGAGAGCCCACACGAACACGACCAGAATGGTGTGCGCGGTCCTGGCAAGACATCGACACCATCTGCCATGGAGCGCTCCACTAGCGCGGAAGAGGATGCCTCAGGGAGGCGCGAGAACGCTGTTGCCACAATGACTCGCAGCAGCGGCTGCGCTGCCTGCCCGGTAGGTCTGGAGACGAGCTGGCGCAGTCCTTCCTGCCGGCTTCTTCTCGGAAGCCCTCTGAAGCTCTCAGGAGCTATCCGGGAGTAACTTGCACCTCCACGGTGTACAAACTCACTGATTGGGGCCCCCGCTGGATCTCGCCATCGCTCGGACGTCCATTCCCTGTGCTTTTTTCGGTTTCGTGCGTGGTTTTTTCGCCAAATGATCAAGGATGCTCCTCGATGGCCCTCGCCGAAGGAAAAATGCACACGTCCGAGCGATGCCAAGTGGATACAATGACATGGTTTGGGCGCGGCTCTTGTTTCGTTCTCAGGCCCGTGATCGGCCCGTGGCCCACATGCCCGCGCTCACTGCGCTCGAACGCGTTACTGAATGCAACGTGGTTGCCTGCCTGGCGACCGCATTCTGGGGTGTTGTTTTGGACACGTGTTGGTCGAGCTCAAAGCGAGACATGCCAGAACGCAAAGCGCATGACAAACAAAAGAACAAACGCCACCACCCTTACCAAAAACAACAACAATAACAACAACAACAACAACAACAACAACAACAACAACAACAACAACAACAACAACAACAACAACAATCGGTTTAAGAGTGTTCGCTCTTCCCTGCTCACGTGCCACTCAACACGTATATCCCAAACCATCGATACCTGCGCAATTCGTTTGATCGTACCCCCTTCAGGGTGTATCTTTCTTACCTGCATCGTGTGTATTTCGTGCAGCTCCTAAGGCAGGGAAGGAGAGGATGGAAGGAAGGGACAAGGGAGAGGGAGGAAGATGGAGCACGAGAGAAAATAGCAGGAGGGGGGCTAGAAGCAGAAAACGCGTGGCAGGACCAAACGGGCAGATCGGGCGGGTAGACCCTAACGGGCCGGTCGGGAAGGCGGGCCTAGACGGCGAGGTCGAGCAGGCGGGTTGCTAAAGCGTGCGTCCTGCATGAGACGCGAGGAAGTCTCGAGCGACAGCGCGATTTTAAAATAATTCTTGAAGAAATCCACAGCGAGAGCGTGATTCCTGAGTGTCGAGGGTGTGGCGTCTGAGTAAATTGCACGGATGTCCCACGCGAAAGCGTGATTCCTGCATACATTTCTGAGGATGTCCTTCGCGACAATGCGATATGGGAGTAAATTGTGGTGAAATATCCGGCGGAAGCCGTTGTTGTTGTTGCTGTTGTAGTGAGCTGGGGGGCAGGGGCATAGTTTGAGCAGGGAGATTTTCCCCGGTAAAAGCACAGCGAGCCCCGGGAGGGGCACTTCAATTGAAAAAACATGCATGTTACGAGAATGCGTGAGTCCTGCATTATTCGCAAGGAAGTCTCGGGCGAGAGCGCGATTCCCAAGTCGATTGCGAGGATGTCCCAGGCGAGAGCGCGACTCCTGAATGGCGAGGGCGTGGCGCCTGAATAAATTGCGAGGAAGTCACAGGCGAGAGCGCGATTCTTGGATAAATTGCAGGGGGTCCCGAGCGAGAGCGCGATTCCTGAGTAAATGGCGCGGTAGTATCAAGCGGGAGCCGTTGTCGTCGTTGTTGTTGTTGTTGGATGTCACTTACTAAACTAAACAATTCTTAATGTTGGACCCCTTAAAGGCGCCCTGGCGCTCTCGCCGAGGCGCCGGCTACATTTTCATTGAAAATGAAGCTCACGCTCGAGCGGTTTGGGGGACCGCCAAAACTAGCCCCCCAACAACAACAGCAACGCTCCCGTTCGAGACTTCCTCCTTTTTTACTTAAGGCTGGTGTTTTTGCTCGCCGCCGAAAGCCGCCGTCCTAACAAAACCAGCGCTCCCGCTCGAGACTTCCTCTCGTTGTACCTTGGACTGGCGCGCTAGTCTTTCTCTCATCGGCGCCGCCGCCAGCAAAAACAACGCTCCCGCTCGAGGTTTCCTCTCTTTTTTACTCAAGGCGGTGCCCCACCTCGCCGCCGAAAACCGCCGCCCGACAAAACAAGCGCTCCCGCCCGAGACTTCCTTCCGTTTTACGCTGGACTGGCGCCCAACTCTCTTTTGAATCGGCGCCGCTCCCAGCAAGAAAAACGCTCCCGCTCGAGGCTTCCTCCCTTTTTCCTGGAGACGGTGCTGTTCCTCGCTGCCGACAACCCCCGTCCCGACAAAACCACGGCTCCCACTCGAGGTTTCCTCTCTTTTTTGCTCAAGGCGGTGTTCCTCCTCGCCGCCGAAAACCGCCGCCCGACAAAACAAGCGCTCCCGCCCGAGACTTCCTTCCGTTTTACGCTGGACTGGCGCCCTACTCTCTTTTGAATGGGCGCTGCTCCCAGCAAGAACAACGCTCCTGCTCGAGATTTCCTTTCTTTTTCCTCGTCACGGTGCTGTTCCTCGCCGCCGACAGCCCCCGTCCCGACAAAACCACGGCTCCCGCTCGATGCTTCCTCCTTTCTTACTCAAGGCGGTGTTCCTCCTCGCCGCCGAAAGCTGCCGTCCCAACAAAACCAGCGTTCCCGCTGGAGACTTCGTTTTGTTTGACGCTGGACTAGCGCCACACTCTCTTCAGCATTGGCGCCGCTCCCAGCAACAACAGCAGCCCTGCTCGAGATTCTTCCCTTTCTATTCAGGGCTAGGTCCTTGCCTCACCGCCGACAGCCCCCATCCCCACCAAGGCAATCCTGTCGTTCGATCCTTCCTTGTGCTTTACCCTTCGCTGGGGTTCCAGTGGCGGTCTCGCATCGGCGCAGCAAGGCGCGGACATGTGCTTTCGAGGCGGGATATGTTGAAATTCCTCGGAGGAGGTGATTGCAAGACCTCACTGGGCGGGAGATCTGGGAATGGGAATAACGGGCCCCGCTATGGAACAAGAGTCCCCCATGATGATGGTCGCATGCTTCGTGTGGAAACATCGCGCATGAGGGTAAAATGATTGTTGTTGTTGTTGCTATTGTACACCGGGGGCCAGGGGCGCAGTCTGAGGAGGAAGACCCTCCTTGATAAAAAAGCAGGGTGCGAGCCCCGGTAGGGGCACTTCAATCAAAAAACACATACGTGATCGGAGGGTGGGATCAACAATACGTCTTCCTCAGTAGTGAGAGTTCAACCACACACACACACAACACACACAGGAAGCAAGCACATACAGCAAAATGCAAACTATCGCGTGGAAAGACAGCCAAGTCCTGGTATATGTCCCACACGCGGTCGAACCGCTTCTCCCTCACGACCCCCTTGAGCACTGAGCAGTAGATCACCGCGTTCAGCAGCGGCCTCGTGGCCCCGTCGGCGCGCATGTCGAGGATGAGTCCGAGGCCCGCGTCTGGGCCATCGTTGCTGACCACGGCCTCGACCATGCAGCCCAGCGTGATGCTGGTGGGCAGTATGCCAGCGGACCTCGCCAAGGCTTCGGGTTGCGCACAGACTGCCCCCCCCCCCCCCCCAGGTAGTAGAGCTGCAGCTGGCCTCACCAGGACCCCAGAGTAGTCCCAGCCCCTCCTCCTCTCTCTCTCTCTCTCCTCTCTCTCTATCTTCGAGGGGGAGGAGGAGGAGGAGGAAAGGGAGGGAGGAGGGGAGGTAGGAGGAGGTGAGGAGGAGGACACGATGACGAGGACGAGGACGAGGGAGGAGGAGGAGGGGGAGGAGGAGGGAGGAGGAGGAGAGAGGAGGAGGACGGGAGGAGGAGGAGCACGAGACGAGGAGGAGGCGGAGGAGGAGGAGGCGGAGGAGGAGGCTCAACACCCCAGCCGTGGGGCGCGGAGCGCAGGGTGTCGAGACCTCTCCAGACTACTCCTGGGGGGACCTGAGACACACAGATAAATACACACAAATAAAATGATTCCCCATATTTTCCCATGTTTTCTGGGTTTCTGTCTTCCCCCCCACTGCCCATATTTTCCCATATTTTCTGGGGAATCGACGATTCATTGTGCCTGTGTGTTTTTTCCCCTCCTGACTGTGGAGGTCAGCTGGGACTACTCTGGGGGCCTGCTGAGGCCAACTGGAACTACCTGGGGGGCCCATGCTCCTGAAGCTTCTGTTCGCGCTGCTGCTTCTGTCGTCGACCCGCTCACTCCCTGGCAGAGGCTCTTCTTCCAGAGCCGTTGTTTGACGGAGCCCCCGGCGAGGGCCCCCGGGGGCGGAGAATGGCAGAAAGCCCCCCCCCCCCGCCGTCATCTCGTCCATTCTCCGAGGGCCTCATCTCGTTCCAGGTGGACCACACGCCCTCCAGGTCCTGGATGAAGCCGTGCGCGCGGATGAGGCTCCCGAACGTGTGCGCGCCGCGGACTCTCCCGCCGCCTTCGCCCCCGCGCCTCCGGGGGGGAGGCTTCCTCCCTCCCCTTTCCCTCCCTGCTCGGACCTCCTCCTCTCTTCCCTCCCTTGCCTCCCTTCCCTCCCTTCCCTCCCTCCCTGCTCGGACCTCTTCCCTCCTCCCTGCTCGGACATTCTCCTCCTCCTCCTCCTCCTCCTCCTCCTCCTCCTCCTCATTCTTCTCCTCCTTGTCCTCCTCCTCCTTCTCCTCCATTCCTTCTCCTTAAAAATAACTTCTCGCTGTCGCACCCCGAGGCCAATGTTTAGGGCGGGTCGGGCGTTTCGCCTGAAACTTCCTCACCATTGAGGACTCTGAAGCTCAAGCAGTGGCAACAGTTTCACGGATTGAGGGCGGGTGGTTTTCACAATGTGGTTCTCGCCTTAGCGCCGCGCACATTCGTTGTAAAACTTCGCAAGAGCTTCACGGATTGAGGGCGGGTGGTTCCAACATGTGTCTCTGTCTCCTTAGCGCCGCGCACATTCGTTGTAAATACGCTAGAGTTTCACGGATCGAGGGCGACTCCTTTTCAAAATGTGGCTCTCGCCTTAGCGCCGCGCACATTCGTTTTAAACATGTGCAAAGAGCTTCACGGATTGAGGGCGGGTGGTTTTCGACATGTGACTCTCGCCCTAGCTCCGCGCACATTCTGTTAAACAATTGTAAGAGTTTCACGGGTTGAAGCCGGGTGTGTAGCGCCGCGCACATTCGTTTCAAACATTGGCAAGGGTTTCACGGATCGAGGGCGGCTCCTTTTCAAAATGTTGCTGTTGCCTGAGCGCCACGCACATTCGTTTTCAACATTTGCAAGAGTTCCACGGATTCTCATGATCAACATACCAGGAAGAGTGTTTTGGAAGGATTCAGGGTTATGCGGGTGCAACAATGATGTTGATTCGCGGTGTTGAGATCCCAAAAACAGCGTTCTGGCACGATTCCGGATCGTCAATACGCACCAGTCAGGTTGATCCGTGGCGTTGAAATCCGGAGTACAATGTTTTGACACGCTTCAGGGTCTTCAAACGGTCGTATTCCAACAAGGCAGTCCCCTCAATGGAAATGAACCATTGTAGGGCCTGTGAAGAGGGAGCTTGGAGGGAGGATAAATTCCAACATCGTTGATGACTCCTGGGTTTACACTGGTCCTCCCCCTCCTCCTCCTCCTCTTCCTCCTCCTCCGACTTGCGTTGGACAAGCGCTGGCGGGCGTCAGCCCTCGCGTCTTGATGGCCGCGATCCGAAAAACAAAGAGGTCGGAGCGCAGCGCTCGATCAAGTTCACAGACATGCAACCAGTGCGTACACGATAGGGAACATGAGGGCGAAGAATAGTGGACAGGAAGAGAAGCCCGCTACGGTACAGAAGAGCACGCAATGGCAAGGATGCCCCTCTCACCAAGCACTTCCTCCTGCCCTTACTCCACCCTCCTCCGCCTCCTCCGCCTCCTCCTCCTCCTCCACCCTCCTCCTCCTCCACCCTCCTCCTCCTCCTCCTCCTCCTCCTTCTCCTCCTCCTCCTCCTCCTCGTCCTCTTCCTCCTCCTCCTCCATCCTTCTTCCTTGTGATTAACTCTTCCCTGTCGCACCTCGAAGCCGGCTTTCAGGGCGGGCCGGGCGTTTTGCCTGAGACGACCTCACCATTTATGACACTGAAGCTTAACAAGTGGCAGCAACTTCACAGATGAAGGGCGGGTCGTTTTCACAATGTGGCCCTCGCCTTAGCACCGCACGCATTCAAATTAAAATGTTGCAAGAGTTTCGCGGATTGAGAGCGGGTCGTTTTCAATGTGGCTCTCGCCGTAGCGCCGCGCACATTCGCTTTAAACATGTGTAAGAGTTTCACGGGTTGAGGGCGGATCGTTTTCAAAAGATTGCTCTCGCCTTAGCGCCGCGCACATTCGTTATTCAAATTCGTAAGAGTGCCACGGGTTCCCATGATCAGCGTACCAGAAATGGCGTTCTGGAAGGATTCATGATTACGAGTGTGCACAAGTTACATTGATTCGCGGTGTTGAAGTCCCCGGAACGGCGCTCTGGCACGATTCAGGATCGTCAATACGCAACAGTCAGGTTGATCCGTGGGCGTGGAGTTCCGAGAACGATGTTTTGGCGTGCTTCAGGGTGTTCAAACGGTCGTCTTACAACGAGGCAGTTCCCTCAGTGGAAATCAACCGTTGTATGGGGCCCATGAAGAGGGAGCTTGGAGGGAGGGTAAATTCCAACATCGTTGATGACTCCTGGGTTTACACTGGTCCTCCTCCTCCTCCTCCTCCTCCTCCTCCTCCTCCTCCTCCTCCTCCCAGTGCGCGCGGATGGTGCTCCCGAACGTGCGCGCGCCGGGGACCCTCCCGCCACCCGCCTCTTCTTCAGCTGCGTGGCCACGAGGTCCGCCCGCCCGGCGCGGATGCACGCCTCGCAGACCGAGCCGAGGAGCACCTCGCCCCGAGGAGCAGAACAACGGCCTGAACATACGACAGGCAACCCTTGCCCAGCGTGTCGTGGCGGCCGGCGGCCCCGGCGGCACGCCGCGGCCCCTCCGCTTCGCGGTTTTCGGGAGGCTGGGGACAGCTCGGGGCGACGACGCCCCGGGGACCGGGCAGCGGCTCGCGTGCCGCTCCGGAGCGCGGTGGGCCAGACCTGGCAGCGCGACATGCCGAGGCCAAAATGCCCGACCACAAACTCTCGGAGCTCCGCGCGGATTTCTCGGATCGGCGCTGGGCCCAGGACCTGGCGGCGCCTCAGGCGCGGCCGACAGCGCGCCCCGCGCGCCGAGGAAGGGCGTTTCAGCGCAGACCCAAGACAGCCGCGCGGACCTCCGAGAAGTGTATGTTTGAGCGGCTTTTTCTTCTTCTGGAGGAGCACCTCGTCCAGGGACTCGTCCATTGCGTCGAGCATGGCGATCGTCCTCTCCAGGTCCGCAACCCTGGAGGAGCGCTGGACGTTCTTCAGCAAGGTGGAGAGGGTCACCTGAGCGACGAGCAGAGACGCGTCTTACGCGAGATGGCATAGCGACCTTACGCCGCGGCTTACGCCGGCCGCCAGCGTGGCACACCGCGTGGAGACGAGGGCGCTCACGCGCGACCTTCTGCGGGAAGCTCACGCGCGAATGTCCGTGCAGACGACCCCTTTTCTCTTCGTCGCTCACCTGGTTGGGCTTCACCCCGCAGGCCCGCATCTCGTCGACCAGGCCCCACACGTCCTCGCGGCCTGCCCTCACCGCCGCGTCGATCAGCTCGTTGAACGTGACGGCGTTGGGCACGAGCCCGCCAGACCGCATAGCCCGGATAGCCGACCGGGCACGGGGGAGATCGCCACTCTTGAGGTACGCCTGGGCAGCGGGATCCAGGCATTGTCAATACTCCGGTGGTGGAGGAGGAGGAGGAGGAGGAGATCGACACTCTTGAGGTTCGCCTGGGCAGCGAGATCCAGGCATTGTCACTGCCCCAGTGGAGGAGGGTGAGGAGGAGGAGGAGGAGGAGGAGAAGGCGGCGGATGTGAGATGATGATGATGATGATGATGATGATGAGGAGGAGGAGGAGGAGGAGGGGAGGAGGAGAGGAGGAGGAGGAGGGGGAGGAGGAGAAGGAGGAGATCGCCTCTCTTGAGGTACGCCTGGGCAGCGATATCCAGGCATTGTCAGTGCCCCAGTGGAAGAGGTAGGGAGGAGGAAGAGGAGGAGGAGGAGGAGGAGTCGGGGAGGAGGTAGGAGGAGGAGGAGGAGGAGGAGGAGGAGGAAGAGGAGGAGGAGGAGGAGGCGGAGGAGGCGGAGGAGGAGGAGGAGGCGGAGGAGGAGGGGGGTGGATATGCATAGACACAATAGGGGCCCGACCACAAGAAACCATCCACAAGAAGCCCAACCCTGAGACCCCAGGACGTCCACTGATTATTGGTCTCGGAACGTCACGATCTCCATACCAAAACCATCGACACCCAAGACACCCAGGGCACCCTGGAACCAAGAAGGGTGTTTCCTGGCAGATGTCTCCACTGTAGATCCCTCCCTACCTTGATTATGATGTTGTAGGTGCACACGTCGGCTACGCCTGCCTCAGCGGCCCTCGACATCACTCGCTCGGCCGCTGCCATATCCCTCATCGGCGGCGCGCACAGAAGAGGTGGCGCCACAGGGGGACTTCCGAGAAGCAACGGGGGGGGCTTCGTAGGAGGCAGGGGTGGTCCTCTCAGAAAGGCCTTTGGGAAGCCAGGGGCTCCGTGGGAGGCAGGGGCCTCGTGGGAGGCAGGGGCGTCTGAGACGGCCCATTTGCTAGAAGCCTCGAATGCCTATGGGAAGCCACCTGCCTTCTCGGAAGCCCCCGCCCCACTCCCTGTCTGCGCAGAAGCCCCCCCCCCTCGTGCCGCCACCCCCTGTGCAGGCCGCCGACCGCAGATCGACGCAGATGTCCAGGAGCGCGTTGTGGAGGCAAACCTGGAGGAACACCGAACGGGCGACGACAAGGAGCGGGTCTTGCGCGAGATGGCGCTCCTCCTCCTCCTCCTCCTCCTCCTCCTCCTCCTCCTCACTCCTCCTCCTCCTCCCCCCTCCCCCTCCTCCTCCTCCTCCTCCTCCTCCTCCTCCTCCTCCTCCTCCTCCTCCTCCTCCTCACTCCTCCTCCTCCTCCTATCCTCCTCCTCCTCCTCCTCCTCCTCCTCCTCCTCCTCCTCCTCCTCCTCCTCCTCCTCCTCCTCCTCCTCCCCTCCTCTTCCTCCTCCTCCTCCTCCTCCTCCTCCTCCTCTCTCCTCCCCCTCTTCCCCCCTCCTCCTCCTTCCTCCTCCTCCTCCTTCTCCTCCTCCTCCTCCTTCTCCTCCTCCTCCGCCGCCTCCTCTTCCTCCTCCTCCTCCTCCTCCCCCTCCTCCTCCCTCCTCCCTCCTCCTTCCTCCCTCCTCCCTCCTCCCTCCTGGTCAGGCTCGGGATCGTGCCGTCGGAGCTCTACGGCACACGCGTTCAGGGCGCCACGGACACGCTGATCACCACGCTCAGGAGGACTGTGGCGGCGGCTTTCCCTGGCTGCAACAAGGGGAGGTCGGCCGCGTGGTGCTGCTGGCGGAGGACGCGGACCCTGCCGTGATCGCCAACGCTGGGCCCATCGTGGAGTGGGCCAGGGCGTGGCAGGAGGCGACGGACATGGCCACGCGGAACCTCCTGGTGGCGAGCTGGCGCTCGTGGGTCATGCGACCCCACGGGCATCCGAGGCCGTGGGGCCTAGTGAGAGGGCCAGCAGGTGCGTTCATTGCAACAGTAATTCGCCTTGGTTGGAGCACCCAGAGTCCAGCTACAGTCACATGCGGGACCGAGGTGCACGATTTGGCACAGATAGATTTGTACTACCTTCACTCCCTCGTGCGCCAGGCCACACATTCTGGGCTGCAGAACGGCTGGCTTGCGCGTTGGGGTCCTGAGGTGAATGTCTCTAAGAATGTCTTTCTGGAGCCGATAAGAATGCTGCTCCGCAGGCCCCTCTGAAAAGTGGACTGTGGAGCATCGCGCGCGGGCCCGAACCTTGGTTGCGGGAGACACGTGGCCCCAACAGAGAATATTTAAGGCTGGTCGTGCGACGACCGACCAGTGTCAGGCATGTATGAATGCTGTATGTACTGACTTGCACCGCACGTATGTATGCAGCGCGCGTGATGTGATGCGCAGGCGTGTTGGCGGCAGGCACGTGCAGCATAGAGGAGCAAACCCGTTCCCAGGTGTCGAATCCCTCTGGGCCAGAGGTATATCCGAGGACCCTGTTGAGCTCCTGGATGTTCTGCCAGTCTCGTTCGAGGTCCAACATGAGGGCGAACACCCAGGAGCCATCACAGGAGAGGTTTTCACAGACGGATCTCTCTTGTACGGTGGGTTTATTCCCCTTCGGCGTGCGGGGTGGAGTTTCGCCACCCTTGACGCCTCAGGGGAGAGCCTTGCTTTTTCTGCGTTCGGCCCCCTCCCCCTGCCACAAAATCGGCAAGGGATATACCCGTCAGAGCTGTACGGTATCCGTCAGGTGCTGAGGAGCGCGATGCCGCCCCTCAAAATCTATTGTGACTGCCAGGCTGTAGTAGACGGAACGTCCAGAGGGGAGGAGTGGTGCTCGTCACCTGCCAGGGCACACAGTGATCTCTGGCGCGAGTTTTGGTTTCTGGTGAACGATCTTGGAGGGCTGGGCCCCAGGACCATCCAGATAATAAAAATAAAGGCACACGCCACTCGAGCCCAGCGGCGAGAGATTGGCGAGAGACTGTTCAAAGGCAACCGCTTCGCGGATGAATACGAGAAGAAGGGGGCTAATGTGTGTGCACACCCTTTCTGGCAGCGTCAGGCAGATCAGCAGAAGTATACCATGGTAGCAGATGCCCTGGAATTTGCTGTAAGGCTCGGCGCAATGTCGTCCGAAG